TCATCATCATCATCATCATCATCATCATCATCATTCCCCTCCACCTCCTCCTCATCCTCCTCCTCCTCCTCCTCCTCCTCCTTTCTCCTCCCTCGACAATCGAGGTCCCGAGGTCCTGGCGCGACGGCCTCCGCAGGACTCGGGAGGACGTGCAGGAGCCCTCGAGGGGAGCCTCCGAGGACCCGTAGCACAGTTGGCCCCCTGGAGCATCGCTTCGCCTCGGCTTTTCTGGTCGCACGGTCGGGCCGAGGTATAGAGATCGAGGTCGGCTCGGGGACGCTGCCCCAGTGCTCTTCGTGCTTGTGGGGTGCTCCTGTGCATCCTGTGTGAGGGTTATGATGTTCCAACCTACTTTAGCCTTGACCACCAGAAAGAATTTCGAGCACCAGGAACGTGCCGAAATTGGATGGTGTTCACGTGTCGGGCCCTGGGAGGCGATATTCGTTCGACACCGTTTCGACACTTTTCCGGGGCGCTCGAAATCAATTCTGCGATGTGGTCCTTAAGTACGATGGGTGCCCTCGAGTGATTGTGTGGTTTGGGGTATTTTTGCCAGCGGGGAACCCACACTCTTGAAGGGTAGTCTCCGGCGGCCGATTCGACTTCGATGTCTTCCGATTCCGATTCGATTCGAGTTGGGATCCCGAGTTGGGCTTCGATTTCTCATTGGAGGCATACGAGCCTTCCGATTTCCGCTGGTTCGACTTTTCCCGACTCGGCTGCCGATTTCCGCCGATCCGATCCATTTCGATCGCCGATCCGACTTATCGATTGGATTATGGGGTCTCCTGAGGCACTGCCCAGATCGCCCTTTGCGAGGCGCAGATGCTGGAACGCACCCCGAAATTGGGAGCCGTCGAGTACCGACAAGAACGTCCGAGCACCTCGAACCTCAAACCGAAACGTCCTCCTCCCCCGCTCGTCTTCCTGCCCACGGCAAGGGAGCCTCGGGCCGTCCTGCGGAAGTGGTCTTCCATTTTCCTTCTGCGTAGGCTGGCGATCGATTAACCGCGATCATTTGTGAAGACTATTGCACCCTGGGTGAGCTTTCGGACGAAAGAGCATGCACGTGTGTCTCCTGCGTCGTCATCGTTATCATCCTGTGCCTCGCAGGCGGAGGAGGAGCAGGATGGAGTAAGAGCAGGGATGAGGAGGATGATGAGGAGGAATCATAAGAAGATGTGGGTAAAGGGGAGCAAGTGCGAGAAAGGAGGAATGAGGTGGAGGTTGGGACGTAGGACGGAAGAGGAGGGAGAGAGAGAAGGAGTGAAGAGGAAGATGGATGGGGGAGAAGGAGAAGGGAGGAGGGGGATGGGAGGAGGCAGGAAGGGGGCGCAGATGGAAGAGGCGAAGGAGGCGGGGTGGATATCCTCGTCTCTCCGCTTGCGCGATTGGCCGCCGCGACGCGGTGCCCAGCTATCCGTCTCTGGCCAGCTGGACGCCACGACCCCGCAGACGGGTCTACACCCAACCCGCGTAGCAAGGAGGAGCGAATCTCCAAGATCACCTTTGATGGGCAAATTTTCCACCACCACTACCATATGCAGGACTTGGGAGAAGAGAGGATGAGGAGGTCCTCCTCCTCTTCCTCCTCCTCCTCCTCCTCCTCCTCCTCCTCCTCCTCCTACCTATGGTAGTGGTGGTGGAAAATGGGTCCATCAACCTTTGCACTCTTCCCTCTGGTCCATCCTTGGCCACTTTTCCGCTGGCCGCGCCCCTCCCGCAAAGGGTCGAAACACGGCCCTCCGAGGCCACTGCATCCTTATATAGTGCGTCCTTACTCTACGGGTTGAGTGTGACCTAAAAGGACGACCCAGGCCCCCGACGTGTTATTATTATTATTATTATTATTATTATTATTATTATTATTATTATTATTATTATTATTATTATTATTATTATTATTATTATTATTATTATTTATATATACATGTATATATTAATAAGAGACAAACCAACACAAAAAAAAATCACCCGCGAGAGCCTCACGGAGGTCTCGACGCCTCCCCGGGACCAGCCTTGCTTCGTGAGCCGTCTGTTGGCGTGCCAGTGCCCCGCCAGATACCTGCCGCTGCGATCTCTCCATCGCGCGGGGGTGGGCCCGGGGAGGGGCGCAGCTCGCCAGAGGAGGAAGCGCTACCCGCATACCGCTGCCCTTCCGCCGGTGTCACCCTTTTTCGGCCTCTTGGAAGGCCCTCGCCGCCACCGCTGGAATCGCCTCGAAGTCCGAGGCAGAACGCCCCTCGCAGAGGAGGAAACGCTACCCATACCGCTGCCCTTCCCCCTGTGCCCCCCTTTTTTTCGGCCTCTTGGGAGGCCCTCGCCGCCACCGCTGGAATCGCCTCGAAAGCCGAGGCAGAACGCCCCTCGCAGAGGAGGAAACGCTACCCAATTCCGCTGCCCTTCCCCCGTGTCCCCCTTTTTCGGCCCCTTGGGAGGCCCTCGCCGCCACCGCCGGAATCGCCTCGAAGTCCGAGGCAGAACGCCTCGAGGCCTGGGGAGCAGTGCTATCGGTACCTTTTGGCTCGTCAGCTCGTCAGAGGAGGAACCGCTACCCCTACCGCTGCCCTTCCCCCCATGTCCCGCTTTTTTCGGCATCTTGGGAGGCCCTCGCCGCCGCCGCCAGAATCGCCTCAACGTCCGAGGCAGCACGCCCCTCGCAGAGGCCCGGGGAGCAGTGGCATCGGTACCTGTTGGCCTCCCCAGCTCCCGGGGGCGCGCCGCTCGCCGCACACCCTCGGGAGGTCCCCCGAGGGCCCCCTCCTCCTCCTCCTCCTCCTCCTCCTCCTCCTCCTCCTCCTCCCCCTCCTCCTCCATCGCCTCCTCCTCCTCCTCCTCCTCCTCCTCCTCCTCCTCCTCCTCCATCGCCTCCTCCTCCTCCTCCTCCTCCTCCTCTTCCTCCTCCTCCTCCTCCTCCTCCTCTCGCCTCCTCTCCTCCTCCTCCTCCTCCTCCTCCTCCTCCTCCTCCTCCTCCTCCTCCTCCTCCTCCTCCTCCTCCTCCCCCAAAAGCATCCGTCCCCCGATCCCAGAGCCCCGAGGCCCGACATTATCGCGGAGCCGCTGCGGCAGCGCGGGAGATTGGCTGCCGTGAGCCCTCGGCCGCATCTCTCGGCCGCGGCGCTGCCTCTGGCTTGGCATCGCTCGGACGTGTGCATGTTTCCTTCGGCGAGGACCATCGATCGGGCGAAGAGAACTATGCACATGCACCGATCCTGGCAAAGCCCATCCATGACCCAGGATCGGTGCATATGCCTCCCTGGCCAAGGTAGGAGGGCGTATGCACCGATCCTGGGCCCAGGATGGGCCTGGCCAGAACCAGTGTATGCATAGTTTTTTTCTCTACATCGAGGAGCATACTTGATCATTTGGCGAAAAAACCACGCGCGGCACCGGCAAAAGCACAGGGAATATGGACGGCCGAGCGATGGCCGGCTGGCAGTGATCCAGCTGCGCAGGCCCAGGCGGGGAGGCCCGAGGCTGGCCAGAGGACGCCCGGCGTGCCAGGCGTTGCGGCGCACGGCGGCCCCCGGGGGCCGCGTCAGTGTCAAATGGCAGGGGGGGGGCCAGGCCCCCGGCTCTTACACCCTCGGAGTGGCCCGGCTCCCTCTCTTCCTGTCGGGCTGGGGCTCCTCCTCCTCCTTCCGTGCAGTGCGGCCTTGATTTGCACACAGCGTGTCCCCGGCTACTGCTCCGCCGGAGCAGTCGCCCTCTGCCCAGGCGCCGACGCAAGCAACAAGTAGATGTGTGTGCGTTTTTGTTCACAGCCTGAGCCCCCACAGGTCCATAGACCCCTCTCGCCTGCAGGGCTCGTTTGCTTCCCGACCCGGTTTTTGTTCAGGGCTCTGCGGCCTTGTGGGGGCCCATGGGGGCCGAAAACGAGTGAGCACACCCCGCCGTGATTTCTCGTGGCGAGAGCTGGCATCGCTCGGACGTGTGCATGTGTCTCGGCGGGGACCATCGGAAGCATCCTGGATCACCTCGCGACAAGTACACGCACGAAGCCGCACGACGACCGAGCGGTGGTGAGGAGAGGACGGCTGGGAGCCAGGCGGGGTAGGAGGGGGCCAGGGTCAGGGTCCTGGTCGAGCCCGTGTGCCCGCGGTGGCGGCGGTCGTGTGGGGCCCGGCGGGTGGAGCCTCGTCGCTCGTGCAGTGTCCACGGTGCTTGTCGATGCTGTTGAGCATGGATCGGCGGCGAGCGAGGGGGGAATTTCGAGGCTCGAACTTCGAGGTTCGAGGTCCGAGGCGGTGCTTCCTAGTTTTCGGCCTGTTTTCGGGCCCTGGCAGCCCCGAAGCTCGACTTGGGGTGAAACGCCGCGCCGGATGAACCCTGGGAGGGGTCCGAGGACCGATTTTGACAGATATTGGCGGCGCGCCTAGGGGGGGGAGTTAGAAGGAGAAGGCCTCCTGAGAAGGCTGCGAAGCTTCACAGAAGCCCTCGTGCCTTCGGAGAGGTGTTCTGTGTCTTCGGGGAAGGCTCAGGAAACTTCCCAGAAGGCCAGTGGGCTTCAGAGCCCTCTGAGAAGCCCGCCCCTTCTCACTTCCCCCCCCAGGGCTGGCCACCGAAAGGAACCTCGGAGCAAGCGACCAAAACTCCGCAAGGCAAGGGGGGGCACTTCATGCTGGCCTCCCCGGGACCAATCGCGGGGCCATGGGCCGGCAAGCATGGACCCGGAAGGGAACACAGCCGCCAGGGTAATGGACCATTACCCTGGCGGCATTGTTCCGTTCCGGGTGGGGAGGTCTCGACCCTGGGGAGGTCTCGACCCCGGGGAGGTCTCGACCCTGGGAATCCGCCAGGGTAATGGACCATTACCCTGGGGGTCCGGGGAGGTCTCGACCATTACTGATGGTCGAGACCTCCCCGGGCCCCCCGCGTCGTGGCCTTTGCCAGAGATCTGCAGATTGGGCCCCGTCCCCGGAACCGGCTTTTCATCCCGCGTGGTGTGGTTGACGGCCCCCAGGGCCCGGTGCGGGCCCCGGGATGCGAGCAATACTTGTATCGATATCCAGAGCGTCTTGGGTTTTTGGGGAAGGGGTGCCGCAAGGCCGAGGCGCACTGGATACGGATAAAAATCGAGCCCTTCGGGGCACAGATTTTATCCATATCCAGTGCGCCGCCAGTTTCTGGGGAAAAGGGCCCCAAATTCCAAGACGCCCTGGATGTGGACATAACCATTGCCCGCATCGGGGGGCCGAACATAGCGAAAAGCCTCCCGCCGTGATTCGTGTCGCCTCTCGAAGGGGGTCTGGGACCCCGCGGGGGGGGGTGCGGGCCAGAAGCAAAAAGCGCGCGCACACGCGCACACGCGCACACGCGCACACGCACACGCACACGCACACGCACACGCACACGCACACGCACACGCACACGCACACGCACACGCACGCGCACACGCACACGCACACGCACGCGCACGCGAACGCGCACACGCACACGCACACGCACGCGCACACGCGCACGCGCGCACGCGCGCACACGCGCACACGCGCACACGCGCACACGCGCACACGCACACACGCGCACACGCGCACACGCGCACACGCGCACACGCGCACACGCGCACACGCGCACACGCGCACACGCGCACACGCGCACACGCACACACGCACACACGCACACACGCGCACACGCACACGCGCACACGCACACACGCGCACACGCGCACGCGCGCACACGCACACACGCGCACACGCGCACACGCGCACACGCGCCCACACGCCCACGCGCCCACGCGCACACACGCGCCTACACGCGCCCACACGCGCCCACACGCGCCCACACGCGCCCACACGCGCCCACACGCGCCCACACGCGCCCACACACGCACGCCCACACACACACACACGGATCGCCACGGGCCAGAGGCCCGGGAGGGCAGCCGCGCGCCCCTGCGGGTGCCGCCGCGCTCCCCCGTCGCGGGGGTCGCCCCTCGCGGGGGCCGCAGCTCGAGCCGATGCGGTGCCGACCTTCCGGCGGTCCAGTCCGAGACCCCCTCGGGCAAGGAAAAAATCATGG